TACCCCTGGACCAGGCTGAGGCCTGACCGTTTCGGTCCCTTGCTCCTTCATCTGCCCGCCCTGTCCCCCCTCCCCGTGGGATTTTTTTGGCTGGAATCTGTTTTTAAGTTAGGCCTGGCCCTCCCAAGGAGGTGCCGCATGAAAACATGTCACATGTTTCCTGTGGAAAGCCTTCGCTGCAGAAATGCTGCTGAGGACGCGTCCACGGCCTTTCTCAGGTCGCTGTGTGGCCAGAAGACAGGGCCTCCGCGGTCACCGCGTGTTACGAAGATCCGAAGAAACAGGGCAACATGCCAAAATTTGTCATTTTGGGCTGGCGCCTGCATAGGTGTATGTTTGTTATTCTCCGTGCGTTTGCACATTACTGAGCGATTTGAAAATATTTATTTGTTACAGGGGGGAGGGAGGGAGATAGAGAGGGAGAGAAACATCGGTGTGTGGTTGCCTCTAGCGCGCCCCCTACTGGGGACCTGGCCCGCAACCCAGGCCTGTGCCCTGACTGGGAATTGAATCGGCGACCCTTTGGTTCACAGCCCAGCACTCAGTCCGCTGAGCCACACCAGCCGGGGCCTGAAAGATTTCTATAGCACCGTCAACAACAACAACGATGACACTACTCAACCTCTTCCCGGCCAGGAGCACCCACTTCCACGGCCTTGCTTCCAGACGTCTGTCCCCGAGGAGGGAAGAAGAGCGTGGGCGGGCTTCTGAGTGTGGCGGCCCCAGGTCTGCCCGTGCCTCTGCCGCTCCCTGCTTCCCCCCCGCCCGTGCGGAGCCCCACCGCCCTTCGTCAGGACCAAATGGGAGAACGCGAGCCTCGTGCACAGCAGAGCGCAGGACCCAGGGAGCACCCACACGCACGACTCTTGCATGTGTGTTACCACGTGTGGGTGCTGCCCAAGCCGCCATGCTGCGGGCAGCTTTCCACGCCTGTGAGTATCACCCGTGGTGTTTAGGAATCAGTGGTGGGGTGAGAACAGTGTCGACCCCCTCGAGGACCGGGTGTGTTTTATCCTGTGGGGTGTGTGCTTCAGGCCACGAGGAAGTTCAGGGCCAAATCTACGCGCATGGGGGAGACCCTGCACCCTGGGCAGTCAGATCTAGCCTGCCGTGGTCTTGGAGCCCTACTGTCTGCGACTTACTTTGATTCTCAATTTCATTTTACGGTCCCTGTAAACCACCCTAGAGCCCTTGTGCGGCATGGCTGGGATAAAAGGGAAGAAAGAGGAAAGCAAGCGAGCCATGGAGGGCAGGAAGGAAGGAACGCAGCAAGAACGAACTTGTAATACAAGGCTCTTGAAATTTTTCATTGTCACGTTCAGCTCTCGGACATTTTGACCGCGTTGGGGGCCTTTAGCCACTATCCGTGGGTTTTCATAAGTGACGCCACTGGAGGGCTGTCGTGGGCCTGGTCACACAGGTGTCTGACAACTCCTGAGTCAGCTCTTCACTACCTACGTGTGGATCGGGCACTTGGAGGTTTGGAAGCAAACGTTTCCTCCAAGGTCAATTTCCCTCAAGTGCTCAGCACCGTTTCACATGGTTTGCGCTCAGGGAATGCAAACTCACTCAATGTCGGCTTTGGCCAAACCCTGCTAGGGAAATAAATCTGCTTTTAAAAACATCATCAACACTGATGTTTTCAAACATCATCTAAATTATACACTGTTTGAGTGTATATAAATGTATAAAATTTCACCTTAATTCCAAAGGTATTACTGTATTTTAAAAGTCATCCTTGAATTAGCTTTTTGTTCCTTGATTAAAAGTTTATTGCAATTTGACATTACTTGAGCATCTGTGTCATTATATTTTATTATAACTGGGGGATATCAGAATAAGGTGAGGACATATGTATGTTTCATATTTTGGTTCCATTATAAGAATGCAACATATGCTTCTAGCAGAAAATGAGGAAACACGGAAAACTCTAGAGGGAAGGAAACTGTATAATCCCTGCCCACAAAAATAATTGCAATTAACATTTTATTACATCTCCTCCACCTCCTCTGGAGGCTGCAGACATTCTCCAGTGGGTCTGTAGACTGTTTCGGGAAAGCAAACTCGGCGTTGTTAGCGTTCCGTCCGAGGTGCTTTCGGAAAGGCCGCCAGGCCCTGCCAGGCCTCCCCGCCTGAGGGAGGAGGGCGGGGCCCGCTTGACCCGCTTTTCCACAGGAGGAGCCCTGCCTCTTCTTCCTGCACCGTCTCCCCTGCAGGTGCCCCTGGGCCGGAGTGCAGAGGCTGGGCTGAGAAAGATGGGCACCCCAGACCACTGCACTCAGCCGGGCCACGGTGTCTGGCTTTCCCCAGGTTCGGAAATCTCAGTGCAGTTGGGTCTTGCTGTCTGACAGAAGGAGCCGTGGGGGCAGGGCTCTCCAGCGCCTGGTGAGACTCCCGTGCTGGGATTCAGCCTGCGCCTGTCGGACGGCTTCCCCCGTCCCCGACCTCAGAGCCCTGAACGGCCCGTGTGCTGCCCACAGCCATCACGCTTCCTCCCTCTGCAAGTGCAGTCCTGCTCTCTCGGGTGAGGCTCCCCCACGCCCCACTCTAATCAGGAGATCTGATGAGGGGCCATCAGTCGCTGTCCCTGCAGACAGAGTGGGCACGTGACACGAGCCGGGACCCTCCCTGGGGTTTCAAAAGGACCGAGGAACCAGACCTTCCTCTGGGGGCAGGAGTGGGAGGAGGTAAGTCCAGCACCACAGAGTCTGTGTCCCTGAGTATGTGAGACGTGCTAACCCAGTCCTTGCAGAGAGAGAGGTGGACTAGCAGCGATGACAGGGGACAGGGGAGGGGGACGGGGAGGGACGGCAGAGAGGGAGAGCACGACAGCCTTCACTTTGGTCCTGCAGGTCCCCGGGCTCTCCTCTGAAACTGCACGACCTGCTGCAGGAGCTCCTCCTGCAGATGGCCGCTGACTTGGTCCTTTGTCACTGGCAACGGAAAGAACCCGAGCCCTGGAACCGGACCCTCCCCGAGCGAAAGTCTCAGCTTCTTAAAATAGCCCACCCCTCTCTAGTGCCCTGTGGCAGACTATTTGTTCCTTTCTTTTATCCTCACCTGAGGACGTGCATACTGATTTTAGAGAGAGGGGAGGGAGAGAAACACCAACTGGTTGTCTCTCGTACGAGCCCAGTGTGAGATGATGCTCCCAGCAACTAAGCCACACCAGCCAGGGCCTAATATTTGTTCTAAGAGAGTCGCTGGTTAGTTCCAAAGCATCCCTGGTTAGCGGAATGTGCCAGGGAGGCCTCCTTAGTCTACCCTTCCTCCAAACTCTCATTTTGGGAAATACATGCAGAAATGGGGTTAATTTGCCTACCACCCTCCCTTCTGCTCCCGCTCAGCCCGTCCTCACTTTGCCTGTGGTTCCACAGCCCACGGGCCTTGGTCCTGATGAACTGGAACTTCCTTGGGGACAGTCAGGGTTCGTGCTGCTTGAGTCTAAGGCCAAAGTGGGCCTTCCCAGTCACACTGTCTTTCACGCCGATTACTCAGCACTTTTCTTTAAAAGGATTTAATGTACTTACTTATTTATTTTAGGGAGGGGAAGGGAAGGAAAAAGAGAGGGGGAGAAACGGCAATGTGTGCTTGCCTCTCAGACGCGCCCCCCGCCCCCCTGGGGACCTGCCCGCATGTCAGGCACGTGCCCTACACTGGGAATCGAACTGGTGACCCTTTAGTTCGCAGGCCAGCGCTCAATCCACTGAGCCACACAAGCTAGGGCCGAGCTCTTTTTATCTCTTAATATTATTTTGCAAAGGTAAAATGGCAAGATAAGTCACTTACTTTAAAAGCGATGACCAGGTGGCATGGTTTAAAACAAAAGAATGTCACCAAAGAAAAGCCAGCGCACACAGTATTGATACAATGGTACGAACCACAAGTCAGGGATAAAGAGGGACTTGGTTTACTCAGTAAATAATCTGCAGGACCCAGCATCTGCCAGGCCCTCGGCTGGGCACAGGGACTCTGTCCGTCACTGGGAGGTCACCTGCTCTTCCCCACACTGGACGGCACGATAACCTCTAACGTCACATTGTCACTCCCTGGGAAGGACCTCACCTTAAAATGCCCTCTAGCATTGGCTGCGCAAGGCCGAGCACAAACTCCACACCAAGTTATGAACGTGACAGCTGCCTTGCTCCAAACGGACAGGCCTGTGGCCCTTCCTGCAGCCGGCACCTCCCTCGGCCAGCAGCCGAGTCTGAGTGAGGTCTGAGAGGCCGCTGCACCCCACAGACAAGGCTGCACCCGCGGCTCTCCCTGCCGACAGGTGTCTATTCACAGCACCCGCCAGGGGGCCCAGTGACAGTGCCCAGCCTTGATCTCCTGGCTCAGTTCCCAGGGAGACCTCCTCTCTCTATGTTTTATTCGTGGTGGTGCCCGGGCAGGCTCATTCATTGTAAAAGTCGGTGGTGGGGTAGGGACAACCAACGAACCTGAAATAACATCTGAGTGTCCTAATAAAACCATCCCTTTGTGGGCTGAGAGTCTGTGGCCAGAGTCGGAGATTCTGGGGAAGGTCTGTGTCTTGAGGACTTTCGAGGGAAAGCGGCCACAGAAGCATCAAAGCCGGTTGCTCGCATCACGGGGCATAGTGGAAGAAAGAGGCCAGAGGCAGCAGAACCGCCTCCGCTGGGAAACGCGGTAAGCTTCAGACACCTGAGTGCACGGAGGCAGCAGACGGTGTGCAGATGGAAGCAGCAGGCTGACGGCCCTGTGGGCCACAGCGATGAAGCTACGGAGCGCCCAGAGTCAACGTTTAACTCCGGCTTCTCCCTCGGAAGCTTCCTCCCCACCAGCTCCATCACCGTCTCTGCGAGAAGAGCTACCCAACCTTCCGCTTCCCCAGCGAGGGGTCTGCAGACCCAAGTCCAAGCGTTTCTCCACCCGCCCCACCTCCCAGACGAAACCACACAGAACCCACGCGCAGGCAGCACAGAGGACAGAGGTCACCACACTGCGTCACACACACAGGCGTGCGCACGTGTGTGTACCTTGAGCGTGACGGTCTTCCCGCGGCGCGTGACGTTGACGCTGTGGGGCTGCCCGTTGGCCATGTTCCTGTGGTCCAGGTCGATGTTGAACGGCTCCCTGGTGCCGCCCAGGCTGTACCGGATCTGCAGGCTCCCTGCACGGGGAAGAGGATGGGGTCTCAGCAACTTCTCTGCTCCAGGTGCCATGGTACTACAACGCCTCCCACCCTCAGCACGCGGGTCTCCGAGGGGCGCTGCCCCCTCTTTGCTGCCCGTCAACACACACCGCTGCTATTCTGAACCGGCTCTGAGGCACCCTGATCCGTGACAGTTAACAGCACCAGGCGCCCACACGGTCACCACCCGCCCACCACCCGCCAGCGGCCACTGTCTGCAAGTGGAAGCGGCACACGGCATGGACGAGCCGAGTTGGGAGTGAGCCTGGGGGGCGGAATGAGACCCCGCACAACACAGGGCTGTGGAGACGCCCGCAGGCCCCACAGAATCCTCGGTGGGGCCCAAAGTAAACGCAGGGTGCAGGCTCCAGCCCAGGGAGTCAGCAGAGCGTGACACTCGGGGCATGAAAGAATCATGAGAGTACGATATTAAAAATAAACATAATTCATAAAAGATAAACACATGGGATTTTGGGCGGCTTCACTGAGACCTGGGAAGTGAAGCGATTACTTTTATTTGGGGTTAGAGATGGCTTCAAATCAGATGCAAAGCAGAGGAAAAGAGGGGCTTCCCGGGCCCCCGAGTGGCCGCTGCCTTGGTTACAGGCCCCTTGGCCTTGACGGATCCTTCTCTCTTCCATTCTCCTCCATTTCTCCCCGGGCGCGACAGACGGCATTCAAGGAGGCGCATGTGGCATTGTGGACCCTGCTTTTACCTAATCTGCACAGCAGACATAACTTCTACTTCTCATTTATGATTTTTACACACATCAATTTTTAATCTCATTTTTCACTCAAATTGGAATCTTCATTTTAATAGTTACCATCTCCAAGCTTCAAAAGGGAGTTTGACCAACTGCAAATCACCTCACAGATTCATTTTCCTTCTGGAGGCACAAAACTGATATTCTGACTTTTAAGTTGTGAAATAAAACACGACAATTAAAACTGAGCACACAGAAAGAAAAAATACACGTCGGTTGTCGGAAACCCCACCACCCCGAGGTAACTATTCTGAACGGCTGGCAGTGCGGCGCTCCAGAGAGGTCTCTGTGCCTTTGTAAACAAATAAATGCAACACTTTCTAAACGTAGCTATTCTAGCATTCCATGTGCTATTTAAAATACTCCACCCTGTTCCCACAGTGGAAAGAAATGTTCACTAGGACAATAAAGAATGAACCGGATTTTCTATTTTTGCGTTCTAAGCGAACTCCACAAGCCTTCTCTAGTTCTGAGTGTTGCCTTGGTGTTTCAGCCCAGATCCTCTGCTCTCGGCATTGGTCTCCATCTCTGAAACATGCTTAACTTTCCTGCTTTCCTCCACTTCTGCGTCCGTGGGTCTCCCTGGCACCTGGAACCCCCGGCCTGAATCCCGCCAGAGCCCTCGGCTGGCTGTCTCCGCCCCACCAGAGCTCCACGCCCTGGGGCTTAGGTGGGCCCCTCCGTACCCGGGAGTTCAGGCTCCAGACTGGTGAGCTGATGGCCGCCACCTGCGTCTCGTCTGACCCTGCCCAATCTGCCCTCTGACAGGGAGCCACTGCCCTTGCTTCCCTCTCAGGTCAGTACTGTTTCTCTGCTTCCTCACTGCCAAGCCCATTCAAGGAGATGTCTTCATGGCCCCTCAAACACGCCTTGTGCGAAACCAAACTCTCGGTCCTCCCCCCAGAAGTCTCCCGCTGCAGTTTTCCTCGCTTCCCTTCGTCCCTCTGGCTACGCCTGCCAAGGGCTCCCTCTCCCCGCTACCTCCCAGAGTACAGGTACGATCTGTCAGCACATTGTCCGGCTCCTCGGCTCATTCCCTGAATCTCGCTGCTGTGCACCATCTCCATTACTACCGCAGACCAAACCCCCACTGCCCGCAGTCCGATCACCGTACTAGCTGCCGCACTAACCTCTTCCTTCTGCCCTGCCCGCCCCTCCCCCACCCCAGGCCATGCCCCTTGCACACCTGGTCTCCTCTCTGCCTGGTGGTTAGAATGATACCCTGCTCAGAACCTTCCAATGGCCTCCTCCTACCTCCCTCACAGTAAAAAATCAAGCTCTTAATGGCTCTCTAGGCCCCAGGTACCTTCCACTATCGCCTGTGACATAATCGCTTACTATTCTCCTCCGTGCTCACTGCGGCCTCCTTGCTGTTTGTCCAGAAGCCAGCAGGCTCCTGCCCCGGTGCCTTTGCCCTTGGTGGCTCTTCCGTCCAGGATGCTTACTCCCCATTTATCCGGCTGGCTGGCCTCTCACCCCCTTTAGGTCTTTGCTAAAATATCATCTTCTCAGTGATCATCTCTGGGACCTCTTCAAAAGCAGAATCTACTGACTCCTTTCCCTTGGTCAGGTCCTCCCTACTCTGTCTTACTTTTTTCTCTTATAGCTCTTACTAGGTATCGTCCTTAATTTGTTTACTGCCTGTGTTCTCCCACTCAAATGTAAGCTCCAGGAGAGAAGGAATGTCTGTTTATATTCTTTATGATACATTATTGCAACGTATGGAATGATGCCTGACACTAGGTGTGAATAAATATTTGTTGAGTGAATAAACGATGGTCTCCCTGCTTCTGTGCTTTTTTCTTCCTTAGGTTTTCTTCGCAGAGAGGTCTTTTCAAAAGGCATTATTGATTAGTGCATTGGTTCACTTATGGTGCTTCAAGGCCTTCCAGCTGCTCCTCAGATGAAGACGCCCACTCTCGGCGCGGTGCACCGGGCTGTCTCGTCTGCGTTCTGCCTGCTTCTCTGTTTTCAAACCACGCCCTCCGCCCTCTCACCTCCCGCCTCCACGTCACCTTTGACTTCTCTCCTCCCCTGGAATGTGAAATCCTGCCCCCACCTCTGGGCCCTGGAGTACCCTGCTCTCGTCTCCAGAGCAACCTCTCTCCCCACTCTTCAGTGTTTTACCCTATTTTTTCCTTCATCCCAATCTCTCGTTTGGGAGTGAAGGAGATGAGCAGGCAGGTATTTGAACAACATGCAGAAAGCCGACCGTCTCCAGTGACTGCTCCCCACTCTACTTCCGGTGTGCTGGTAAACTCGCAGCCCATCTCTGAAAGTTTACGGCGGTGCCCACTCTTGCCTTGTGTGTGCACCTCTTCAGAGCACACTCGTGTGCTTGCTGTGTGCAGCGCGGCCAACGCGAGTGTCCTGCGTCTGAAAGGGCTGTGTGCTCCCCCGTAAGCGTAGAGCCACGTCTGACAGGCCGGTCCCGACGCCCTAGTGTGCGGATCACGTCATCACGCAAAAAACTGGGCGTTGCCCCTGCTCCGCCTCTGCCACTGGTCCCCCCCTGTGCCCAAGCTCATGTGACTCGGCATAAAGTTGTTTCTTTAAAAATCATGCTTCTCCTTTCCGGCTGTCTTGAGCTTTGTAAATATGATTTAAAATGTGTACAGCCACCGCACTTAACGGCGAGAGAAATTATTTGCTTTGAGAAGAAAGATGAGTTGGAACTTTAAATGCACATATAGTGAACATCTATAAACAGCTATGGTAATCTTCTTGAATAATAAAATTCAAACTCTGTATCAATACCTTTCAAACAGCAGCACAAGAGACCCATGAAATGACGATTGGGAGAATATTAATATTTGCTCATTAAAATAAAATAGTGTTGAGTGGAGAGAGGGCTCGCTTCCTGCATCTCGTGTTCACCCCCCGAGGGCACAGAGGCAGGGGAAGGGGCTACTGCTGTACTGGCTGCAGCCGCTGCCGTATCAACCAAACCGACTGCAGGGGTGTCCCACCTGCAGGGGTGTCCCATCCAGGCTGCCTGCCACCCGGGGTTTGACTATGAATGCGGCCAAACACAGTCGTAAAGTTACTTAAAACATTGCTTAGTTTTGTTACTAGTTTTGTACTAAGTTTTATTACTTAGATGTGTACATTCTCTGTATCAGCGATCACAAACCTGGGACCTGCTGGGCGATTTTAGGAGATTACCCAGGGGGCCGCTGCACAGCCAGGGCTGTTACGTGAGGACTTTCTGCTCATCTGCGGTGGCGGAGCTCGTGAAAAGTACGCACGGACCTTTCTCTTGTTCATCAGTGTTCGTTAGTGTTTGTGGGGCCCAAGACGACAACTCTTTTTCCGGTGTGGCCCAGAGACGCCCAGAGGCTGGACACCCCCGGATGGAACCGTGGCCCACGACAAACACCCACACACACGGGCGTGTGTGCCCCAGCGTTGGGTGCTGGCCACTGAACATTCGTGCGCAGTCGCGACTCCAGGAGCAGACAGTCCAGCATCGACTGCACTGTGTCCGTCCCATCCTGGACGAGCCGAAGGCAGCGCCATCCTCCCCGCCCACTGCGGGGCTGGGACCTGGGGGCAGGCGCAACTGGGACGAGAAATCTGATTGGTTGGGTCCAGGAGACACGTGACTCTCGAGCTCATGGAAGGCGGGGCTGTGCACTGCTGCCTTCTGCTTCCGCCCTCCTGGTTTTAAGCACCGTTTTGTCTGATCAGAACAGTGGCCCCTGCTCGGTGTGGGCACGCGAGGCGTAGGGGTGAGTGTTCCTGTTCAGAAGCAGCAAACCGACAATCCCCACGGACTGTTGTTGCTTCCTTTTGTCTGTACGTCTGTTTATATGGATGGATGTACACGTATCTCAAGGTTAAACTGATTTTGGACGGTTTCTTGCTCCTTTCTTTAACACAGCACCGCTCGTTTTCCCTCCATGTCACTAATTACTCTTTGTGAACGTGATTCTTCACGGATACGTGAGGTTGGTAAAACGTGACCCCCCCTCTTCCACTCGCCACTTCACTGCCGTCGAGCTTCTCGGTTCTTTCCAGTTCCCGTGAGTAACACCTGCATGTTGAATCGCTGTCTGATTTTTGGCTAGTTACTTTAGGAATGATTTCTAAAATACAAGGAGACATTTGATTTCCCCATCTTTTTAACCCACAGTGCATCGCCCAGGGAAGTACTGGTTTCCAGAACTTAAGTGGAGCTGGGTTAATAACAGTGATGACCGTTGGTCCCTGGGGATGGAAACCCTGCCCTTCCAGATGCCACCCCCTGACACAGCTGTCACGGGGGCTTCCAGGCCTCAGCAGTGAAGAGCGGGACGAGGAGAGAGGGGCCTCCCGCCGTCGGCCACACAGGCTGGGAGTGAGTCAGAGAGACTCGCTTCTGGAGACCCCTGAACTACCTTCACTGGTTAAAAAAAAAGGGAAGTGAAGGTGTTATGAGGCTTAGACCTCAAGTTCCCGGGCATTAGGAACGCTCATACTTCTCTAAGGTCACAGGGCCAGCCCTACACTGCCACGGGATGCCATCTCAGTGGCCGTGTGTCTGACACGCTCTGGCGCGGTACGTGTTCAGAGACCAGGAAGGTCCCGATGTCACACAATCATACACGTGAACGTGCCCTGCTCTCAGCAGCCTTTCCGTCAGGGAGGCAGTTTATGAAGGTGAAATTCTGAGAGGGCTCGGGGGGGCGCACGTCTCTGACTCTCTGTTTCTATGGAAGGTTCAGATGTGCTGTAGGGACCTGCTTGGTCATCATCACACATCAGGGTAATGACTCATTTGTTGATATGAAGTTCATTTCACCACTGCAAAGTTCTTACTGGTGGAGTAGTGAATGTCCTGATTCATTAGGAACCAAAGAAGCCACCACTGTACCCAGGAAGCCCTCTCTCATCATGTAACGTGGTTCCCGTGCGGAGCTCAGCGTGCCTCGGCGACATTACTGCCACGACGCATTGCCACCGGGCTGCAGCAGGCAGTTGCCTTGCTGGCTCTCAAACAGGGAGACAGGGTTCAAGGACACCAGGTGGCCTGCTCAGCTTCCTGTGAGGAATCAAGGAGAAGCCAAGAACGATCTAGTCTCTTACTAGGACATTCTGTCCGCCCAGCACTCAACACCCGGCGTCACCGTCCTTACCGGTGGGTTTGACGAGGATGGCCAGGAAGTCCGTGGTGAGAGAACTGACGTACAGGAGGATGCAGGGCGCCTTGGAGGTGCTGAAGCTGAAGCGGACCTCCTCCTGGGCCAGGTCCGGTGGCGGGCCCTGCTGCTCTGGTGAGCTCTCTGTCCGGCCGCCCGACTCCCTGCCGCTGGCCCCGGGGGCCTGGAAGTTGTACCGCAGCCACATCCCCTCTTCAAAAAAGGCACCCACGTCTGTTGAAAAGGAAAGAGAGACCGAAAAATAAGAAGAAGCTGGGTGCTGGGCCCATCAGCAACTTGAACTCGGGTTAACCTGTCAGCCTGGAGGCAGTTCATCGAGGACAGACTCGGGCTCCAGGACGGGGAGCAGACTGGGTGAACTGCTAGCCAGGTGGATACTCCTTCCTCAACACGAATAAAAAGCCATAAAAAAAATTGTGCAACAACGTGCTGATCTGTGAGTTTAAAGTATAATAGTGAAATTAAGCAACGTGAATCATGCCAGAGAGGAACGCCAGCTCGGTACCCAGCCCGAATAACCGCGTTAGGCTGAAGAGGCGCGCTGCAGCGAGGGCAGTGTCGTGCCCGGTGTGCGCCACCCGTTCGAGGCGCTCCTGGGCACCGTCTTCGAGAGGGTTTTGCTTTGCACATCCAGACCCACAGGGAAGCCCTGCCCACGGTCTCAGTGCTGGGAGCTCGGAGCACAGTGTTTCTAATCACGAGGCACGAAGTTAGAGAGGACGGGGTTCAGGTTTGCTCTGCCATCAAATCGTTAGTGGCTGCAGGGAAAGTGACGTGACCAGCGCCTCTAGGCTTCAGTGTGTTTCTGTGAAAGGGACATGATGAGAGTGGAAATTATAAAAGGGAATTTAAAGCACTTAGCACCTAACAAACGGCACCCATTGTTATTGTGAAATTGGAAGGAAGGTCACTAACGCCCCCTCAGGCATTTCCTGCAGCCGCGTCCGTGGGAGCCGGTTGGCGATCACTCCTGGCAGACCAGCTCCTGCCGTGGTCTTTGCCGCTGTCTGCTCCGGGATGTTCTGAAATCACCCTGCGTCACTGGCAAGCCCCCGAGGCGCCCCCGAGGCTGGTCTGGTGTTCGGCGTTCACGGCTCCACCGCGTTCCCTGCACGCCCTTCTGAAAGCGTGTCTCCACCTTCCGTGCCCCGGAACCCGTTCTTCTCATCCCGCTACCTCGACGCCATGCGGGCAGGCTTTGTGAAACACCCTGCCGTGCTATAATTAACAGGAGGGACGAACTTCAAAAGCATTCCTGCGTCTGGGATATTTGGTGTGTTCCTGTTACACATGCCTAGCAGAGTCAGCCCAGCACAGCGATCTGGGGTGGACTCCTGGCCTTGACATGGACCGAGTGTGGGAACTTGGTCCATGGCTCCAAACCCTCTCCGCCCCCGTTTCCTCCACTGAGAAATGGGGCCGCGCAGGCTGTTGTGAGGACTGAACAGCTGACGTGCACACTCCGCCCAGTGCTTAGGGTGTATGACAAATGTCCAACGAAGACTAGTCAGTCACCTTACACAGAACAGTTACCGCGCCCCACTGAGGGCCACGATGCCGCTCTGTACCCCGCCTGACGCCACCACCCATGGGCAAACCCTCCGTAAGTCGCCCTGGCACTGGCGCGGAGTCTCCACGTCCCGCTGCTCACTGAGCTGCGGCGAGGGTTCCGGTGACTAGAGGCTCTCGGCTACGGGCAGGCCCATTCTCCGCCTGACCTCCCACCCCAAGGCTTTTACAAATGTGTGTGCATGGGAGGGCGTGTCCCAATGACGGGGCACCACTGGCGTTGAGTGGGCGGGGGTGGGACCGCTGCTGTCCTCCAACGCGTAGGTCTGTTTGTACAACGAAGAATCGTCCTGCTCAGAACCGCCCGTGTGCTGTCGGCCAATGCAGATTAAACACACGGTCACCGCACGCCAGTCAGGGCGTGACTTCCTGGAGTGTGGAGATGCGTGACGTGCGTCACTGCCCTCGAGGAGCTTTCTGTCCAGCGGCGGGCGTGGGAGGAGACCTGTCGTAAACCCGAACACACGGCGAGTGTGCTACGAGGGTGTGGCGAGTGTCTGTGCCCTGCTTGGCAGGCTGGGAGACGAGGACCCCGTCTGGCCACCTGGAAGACCCTGAGCTGGCTCTCCCCTGCAGCAAGCATCTGTGGAGTGCCGGCTGGGGGCCCGCCTCGGTGCTGGGCGCGGGGGTCACAGTCCTCGCTCTCAGGAGCGCTCCGTGTAGAGCGCGCACTAGACTAACCGACTTCGTGGTGGGTGCAGGGTCAGTGGACGCGGTGGGGAACCTGCGACACCAGGGGCGCCAGCCTGCGCTTTGGGGCCCTAAGAAGACTTCCTGGGAGCTCAGACATTGGAAGCAGGACCCGAAGAGCCAGAGGCAGGTGCTGTGTGTAGGTAGGGAAGAGGCGCAGTTTGCCCACCGAGGGAGCGACAGGCAAATACACTCCAGCCAGGTGACAGGCCCCCGGCGGTGCTGACGCGCAGGAGTGGGGGACCCTCGGGGACAGCGCAGGCAAGGGGGAGCACCGGGCGCAGCAGGAAGCCGGGCAGTCTGGCCAGCGCGAACCAGTACCGCTTCTCAGATCAACTGGCGGTGGTCCAGGCGGGTCGTGAAGGGACATTCAGGAAGCTAAGGATTTTAGATCAACAAACCAAAAATATGCCACAGAGACTACTTCTGGGGGTTTTAGAGTCACCATTAACAAGCTTTATGGATTCATGTCCGTTTCGGACGAAGGGTTCTACTATGCTTGAGAGCGTTACTCTGAAACCACGTCATAAACCAAACTGTTAAACCGGGGCCTGGGGGGGCTGCGGACCATTTAAGGCTCCAGGTGCACATTCACAGCTGTCATTTCTTGGTTTCAGACTGTTTTTAGGAAAGGCTCATTGGGGCACCGTAGTATCATTAGGAAAGTAACACCCCCAGCCCTTCTGAATGAGTAACTAAAATGACACTAATTTAACAAGCCCCAAATAACATCTTTTCCCCCATTCAAAGGTCAAAAAGTATTGAGTTAGAACAGCTGTTTTAAGGTTTTTATACTGGTATGGGACAGCTTACGTTTTAAGATACTCATTTTGGGGTAGAAAAGGATGCATTTTGGGTTTAGTTATTCTAAGATATTCATTCCAAGCTGTGTTATGTATGGAGGGCACTTGTTGAATCACATCACGTTTCTCAAAATTCTGGAACACATCACGCCATCTGCCGACTGAGGCTGAGGGGGGAGGTGGGAACCCTGAAGCCAGCGAGTAATCTTAACATCCCCGGTCCTCCAATCGGATCCTGTACAAACTGCTCCTGACTGGGGGAGCGAGTCTGGAAGTGCTGAAAGTGGGAGACGCCACCCACACAGCCCAGAACAGCACCACGCAGATGTTTGCCCCTGGGTGGCAGCCCGAACGCCCAACGTCTCCGGTGGACACACACACACACACACACACACACACACACACACACACACACACACAGAGCTGCCATGCACCCTGTGGTCTGACTGGTCGTCTCTTTCTCCCCCAAGTTCAGTAATTCAATTCCTTTCCTTTTCACCTAGGATTTCTTCTGCAACCTGTATTTAAAAAAAAATGGTGTGATTCTTTTCGCTCTCTGATGTCCCTGTGAGGACCCAGAGTTGAAAATCCCCAGCTCGCGAATGGGCTGTTTTCAAAAAGTTTATTTTAAAGTCAGTAACTTGCAATTTGGAAATAGCTCCCCATGGATATGATACTTTAAATGCTGGTTAGTTTGCCAGGAGAGCCTTCAAAGGCTGAACCACTCTGGGTGGGTAATAGAAGATAATTGAAGAGTGCCGTTGTGTACGAGTAATTAAAGCAGCAACGGCAACCACAGCAAAGGGGGCAGGGTTAATTTTGAGTATGAGAACTCCCGGCACCTCTGTCCCCACGAGCCTTTCACCTCACGGATGCGGTGGCATGCTGGTCAGCGTCACCCAGCTGTCTCTGCAGTGGGAAAACCCTGGCGTGTGGCGGCTGCCTATTCCCATGGTGTAAACAGTACGCCTCGGCTCATGTCGAGCTGCTGAGATGACATCGACATAGATGGAGTGGAGAAGAGGTGCTGGTCCCCCAGCCTGTGCATGTCCCCCAGCACCGCTCCTCTCCTGCTCACCCGCCTCTGACCCAGTCATTCACACGAACCGTACTGACTGGTCCCTGCCTGGTGGCGGCTTAGCCAGCCTGGGCTGCCTGCACGAAGTACCGTAACTGGGTGCCTTAAACACAGAAAAGCATTCTCACAGTTCTGTTGCTGTAAGTGACAAAGATCAAGGCGGCAGCTGATCCTGGTCCTGGGGAGGGCTCGCTTCCTGGCTTGCAGGCAGCCGCCTTCTTGCTCCGTGCTCACAGGGCAAGAGGGAGGGAGGGAGAGAGCCAACGGGCCCCAGCTAGCTCTCTGGTCTCTTCTCACCAGGGCACTAATCTCCCCCGGAGGGCCCCGCCCTGAGGACTTCATACAAACCTAATTACCCCGGACGCCTCCTCCCTCAATATGATCGTGTTGGGTTTGGAGCTTCCACATGCGGATCTGGGGGAACACAAACATTCAGGCCCTAACAACAGACCTCCTTCTTTATTGTCTGCTGTGTGCACAGGCTGGAGTATCTGCTCACTCCTTCCTGCCTTGGAAAGGTCGCCTCTGCCTCCTCCCAGACGTCCCACTTCCCGAGAGCTCTGTCTGGCTTCTGTGACAACTAGGGGGACGGCTGGGGAGCTGATGTCACACCGGAGGAGGCACGGGCCCGAGCCCAGCCTCAGGGTCACTAAACTCTGTGATGGCTGAACCCCATTGTCTGGAATAATCACACACATTAACTGTGTTTTAATTTATCGCCTACTCACTAAGTTAAGTGAGTTTTCTGGAGCGCTGCTCCTGGTGAGGCTGGGCATTGCCTCCCAGCAGCAGCCCGATCCCGCACAGGCCTGGCCCCTGCCAGAGCCGTCTGCGAGGCCCGGCTCTGGCCGCACTTGTCTGCCATTGTACTCCAGAGCCCCGCTACCCTGAAATACAGTATTTCTCTCTGGTTTAACATTGGCAAAATCTGCTTTTTATCCCCCAGTGCACCAGGCTGAACATCCCTCCTAAATTTTTTATTCTGTTTGTTTGATGTCTTCTTCAATTTAATCAAACCATCTTGGACCAGCAACACCGGGCCTGGGACAGGTGAATGTTCACTCCGCTTGTTC